GACCACTCATCGAAACCGCAGAGTTCAAGTCGACGCACAAGATGGCGGACACACTCCCATGCCACAGCCAAACAAAGCGAATAATCACTCACTGCAGAACAGTGTCCCAGGAAAGCCTAGCATCAAATCTTGATACTCTTCTGGAGGCCTTCTGGGTGAAGCTGGTGACAAGAGGGGCAAATCCCAAACGGGATCCCCAAGCGAAAGACCAGAGGCGGGAAACAAAAAATGGCCGCGGATCACAAAATGGCACCCACCAGCGTCCAGCACTCGCCACAAGTGACAACCACCTTCCTGGGCGGGGAGTCACCAAAAGACTGGCGCCCCGCCAGCGACCACGCAAGCAGAGCAAATTACTCACAAGGCGATGTAAGACCTCAACCCGACCCGCTCTCCCCTTGTGGGGAAGGACTTGGACTATGCCAAGTCTCCAGCCAGCAACGCAGAGAAGCGGACCTCTGCACGGGTCTGGGACCAGGGAGCTTCCTCACCGCCTCTCCACTCAGCAGAGGGACCGGCAGCTCTCAGAGGCTCAATCCACCTCACCCATTCCATAGCCGACCTGAACAGAGACTGCATGAAGTGGCCCATTAGTGGCATCGACTGATTCTCTGGCCCTCCGAGACTGGCGCTCCCTAACTGTTGCCAAACCTCCTACCACTGCCGACCACCCTCACAACTCTCACGGACGCTCTCCGGACCCGCATACCAGAGACTCGGGCTGTGACGGACGAGGGGGTCATGCTATACCCCACAACTGAGTACCGGACTGTTGTTGCCCTTTGTCTTACCATTTGGTAATTATTAGTACCCAGGTTGATACCCAGCTAACGTAAACTATATCCCCTATGACCCCGCAGCCACACACCACTTATTGCAGCCCACACAGGACGCTAATGTCCGTGATTAACACGTGACTCCCTGCACATAGACAGAACCATAACACTTGCGTAGCCAACCACCCGCCACACAACACGCTCATCACGCCTAAGTTTCCCCACACGCACCACCTATCCACAGTGGGAATATTAAACCTTAAAGCCATACCTACTTTGTGTCTTTTCTACTCAGATCAGTCGCTAGTATATAAAATGTATGTCTCACACCTATGCATAATTAAGCATAACTGTACTGTTTTATTTAGCAAGGTCTAGTATGTTTATGGTCAGCAAGAAATGTCACAATCACTGCTGTACATCGGCTTGTCTAACTAGCCTTACGGGCAACCCGCCGGTAATAATTTTTCACGCTAGCCAGGATTCAATTGTGTTTCTCATCTTAGAGATCTATCACACGGGGCTATCCTGTGTCTCTTGATTACTATTGGATCCTTTAAAAAGTATATCTCATTTAGACATTCAGAGACCTAACCAAAGAAATGTTAATGTTAATTTGTTTAGCATGTAATTTAGGCATGGACTTCAATGCAGACTAATGTCACAAACGACTAGAAAAACCTGTACCCTATAAGCCTGACGAGCTGATGATAATCTTGTGCACGATCTCTCATCTGCCCAAATAGCAATCTGGATGCACATACTTAGCGTGTAATGTTTCTCTTCTTTTATTAACTAAACGGTTGTTAAGCATAGCGTTACCATAAAATCTAATTGTTTGTACCAAAAGAATTGTTCTCTTATACCTTCACGAAAAATGTGTAATTGTCACGCATGCCACGTCTATGTCAAGACATGTAACCTCTAATATGCTGATCTGTGCTATCGTGGCAAAATCAGCTTGCCTGTTACTTGATTTTTAAACAACAAAAATAAAGAATTAAAAAAAAAAATTGTATCGCTGTTAAAATCAGGCATCTTACTGATTTACAAACTTTTTGAAAAGCTCTTATTGGGTGATTTTAACTTGTATGTCTCTTTCCCATTTCTCTGCGGTCTTGGTTGGGCTTATTTTCTCCACCAATCTTAGCAGATTGTTACATAAAGCTAGCGTACCTTTTGATTAATTCTTTATTATTATTATTTATATAGCGCCAACAAATTCTGCAGTGCTTTACAGTGGGTGGACAAACATGTAGTTGTAACCAGACAAGTTGGGCACACAGGAACAGAGGGCTTTCTTTGGATTATTTGTATCTTTGTAATTGGTTCTTTGGGTTCTAGGCATAGATGTTTCCTAATGTATCCTTTTATTCGTAAATAAGTAAAAATTTCACCTTTAAGTTCTTGTGCTTTTTCAGAAATTTCTGTCAAAGTTTTAATACGCCTATCCATTAATAGAGTGTTTATTGTCCTTAGCCCATTTCTATGCCATTTGCTCAAATTAATATCTTTTATATTATTCGCAAAATTTCCCAGAGACTTTTATTACCATGTCTATGACTTTGCATAGCTTAGTATTGTAACCGTGTGTGGTTCCCTTATTTACCACTATAATGTCTTAAAGCATAGAACTTAGTAGGGCTAACCATACAGATATCTTAGCCATAATTTTATATAGTGTTAGAGATCCTCTATTTAACATATATAAATAATTGAGAATACAATATAAAATAAGGATTGTCTTGGAAGCAAGATTGTCTTTTGGATATTTATTATATAAAAATATAAAATCCATTATAGCAGAGTTTATAAGATTTAAATTACATGCTTGCAAATATCATTAATAGGTTAACATACCCTTCTGAACATGTCATCATGTCAGCCTCTCTGTCATTTTAAGATGGAGCAGCGTCTGTCTCCAAGTCTCTCCTCTGTGTCTTAACATTTAAAAGTACACCTATTTATACCTTAGATGTCTCCATTTTAGGTTACTGTAGTTCAAATATGAAAAAGTAACACTTCTTTTACTTTATTCAATTTAGGACCTCCCTTAATTTGGCAAACATACAAGGCCATAACTAAAGGGTGCATACGTCATGGAAATTTTCCTGACTTAGTTCAAGATGGCATCTTAAAGTCTGAATAGGTTATATGTTGTTTATACTAAGTCGTAAGTGTACAGTCGTGGGAGATTCCCGGATTTGGGGAAGTTCCATTAACTTGGGGTTACCACAGTATATTGTGTACTGCAAGAGTCAAAATGGCGCAAACATATTATGCACTGAGGTTATTGCTTAAAGAAACAGTTATGAAAAACAATATGTTCCATTTCTAACACCTTGTCAGTTTGCAATATCTCTTAAAGACAAAGTACACAGTTTAAGAAATACAACATTTCATTCTAAAACTTGTAATATTTGCATTTGCCCATAACAGTATCTTTCTTAATAGTTAATCTAGATATGTTATGTGTAGCCTGTACTTTACATTGCATTTAAAAAATTGTGCAGTATATCCAAATGCCCTGTAACTATTATGTTTTGTCGTAAACTGTCTTGCAAATGCTGCTAGGGCATTGTACAACTGTCTGTTAATCATATGCACACAAAAAATAAAGAATTATAAATTTCCCAGAGAAGTATTTATTAGGACTTTGTTGTTTAACTTTATTTTCTTCCTAAATTTCTGCCAATTATTTTAAATGTGCCTCATAATTAAACACCTTCCCACTATTGGCCTTTTTGATGTTTGTTGTCCAGAATCCCTACACTAAGTCTTTTTCCACCTTATACCAGTTTTCTTCTCTTGAAGATTAATTTTGTGTCATAAATGCATGACATTCATACATATCTGGCATAGACAAACCCCCTTTGGCGGGTCTCAATTTAAGACAATATAATTTTTAACCTCGGTTTTTTTATTACGCAATACAAGGTTCCTAAATGCAGCTTAAATCATAGATAGCCAACTATTGGGTACAGAAAGAGGTACCGTACGAAAAAGATATAGCCACCTGGGGAGGACATATGATCTTAGAATATTTATTCTTCCCCAGAATGAGAATTCCATCTTTCCCCAACCTTTCAACTGTTTAGACATTTGTTTAAGAAGAGGGAAGAAATTTTCTTCTATTATTTTGTTTGGGTCTGAGGATATCATTATACCCAAATATTTCATACTTGATGACCAAACAAATCTATATTTATTTTTCAATAGCTCTTTAGTTTGAACCAAAACGTTGTTTATTAAAGCTGTTGTTTTGTTAAAATTTAGCTTCTACCCAGACACCTCAGAGAATTGTTCTATGACCCTAACCGTTTCTTCCAAAGCCTTTTCGGGACATAAGGTCATTATCACATCATCTGCATAAAGGTTCAGTTTCAATTTGCCAGAATTTGTTCTGAACCCTTTTATCCTATTATTATCTCTAATCTGAGAAGCCAGCGGTCCCAGTGACATTATATATAGAATCGGTGAGAGCGGGCTACCCTGCCATGTTCCATTGACTCACAGACCTTTCACATATATAGACCCCTTCAAACACACACACAGACTTTTCACATTAACAGAACTCTACAATCACACTGAAAACATACAAATACACCCAGAATTCACAGACACTGACACTGCATACATACAACATTATATGCACACATACTAACATTTCACATAAATATAACACTACATGTACACGCACTAATAATTCACACAATTACAACCACGTCTGCACAAATATTTATAAACAGTATTGACAGTAAGAACTACTCACAAATAGGCACACGTTGTCATACATGCACAATACTAACAAGTACTTGCTAAATTCACTGTAAATAAACACACACAACTGACAGCACACAAACACGCGCTTTAGTTCACTAAACAATGAATTATGGCATAGAATATATAAAAAAAAAGATAAGGAAATTTTTATACTGATATAAAAATATTTATATAAAAAGACTTAAAAAATAAAAGGTAAAAAGGTACATAAGTCCATAAAAATGTCCAAATAAAAGTGGAAAGTGCAACTTGCAAGGAAACAGACCAGGTCACGAAAAAAGAAAGTATTCTTCTTGTGCAAATTCTTGGGTTAGAAGTGGCTTCCAATTCGTGCGAACATATAAAAGAAGCAGATAAAGATTCCAATGGTACAGTATATCCCAATCAAATTAACTGGATAATAAATAAAAAGAGATGTATTCACATTTACCAGAGCAAATAGCAGCTCTAGTTTAAAAGGCATAGAGTGGCATTATCCCCACGTATAATCCCCATAATTTGATTGGAATATACTGTACCATTGGATTCTTTCTCCGCTTCTTTCATATGTTCGCACAAATTGCAGGCCACTTCTGACCCAAGAATTTGCACAAGAAGAATACCTCTTTTTCCTAACATATTGTGGCAGTACCAGTGAGTTGTATATCTTCTTAGGGACAAACCGACTGTAAAATAAATATATAAATTTAAATAGTCCCGCCTCCTTCCCTTTTAAATAACTGCTTCAAGCCCTGGACTCTCAGTATTTATTCTTGTCCCATTCGGGATGGACATCGGACCTGGCCGATAGCTCCCTGGATAGTGAGCTGAGAGCCTTGCTCCGAGGAAGGTTACGGTGCAAGTAATCCAGCAGCATGTTATGTTGAGTGAAGCCGTCTTCGTTAAGAGGTTCCCAGGTGGTTCCCAGGTGGTTCGCCAATAGCAATGCAAGCCTTGTGCACAGCGGTGGAAGGTACGCCCGGGTGGCCTTGACTTCCACCGAAGTTCCGAATGCGCTACTCGGAAATTCAAAAATTTGCCACAGATTTCACATTTGGTGCCTATAAATGCTGTGCAGATCCTCAGTACAGACATGGAAGGTGTCCTTGGAGGGTCTACCATGTCACCAGAGCCCCCACAGGGTTCATAAACCTTTAAGGTAAGATAAATTATCTTTTCTTTAAAAGGTTTCTGTTTTATCTATGTATTATATGGAATTGTTGCTTAAGGTAATTATTTTTTTGCAGATGTCTTGCCCAACATCTCCTAACGATTTAGAAAAGGAGAGAATAACAGCACCTGCACCGAAAAAAGATGTGTTCAAATCCAAGCATAATGCCTGTGGTGAATGTGCTACTCCACTGGCAGATGGATGCAGAAAAATGTTGTGTAATAGTTGTTCTGCGGAGAGTTTAGAAACAACAAAACAAAACAATATGCAGAGTTTCCTCCACTGGTTCCAGGACAACCAAGCGCAAACCTTTGAGTCTTTTAAAGAGACGTCTAGAGTGCATATGCCGACACAGGAGAAGCATTCCAGGAAGCGTAAGAGGGAGAGATCTTTTTCAGAATTATTATCTGGAGAATGCTCAGACACCTCATACTCGTCACTCGCCAGTCAAGCTTCGAGTGTAGAGGAAGGGTTTCCTACTGAGGAAATGAAAAGGTTAACTAAGGAAATTACGGCAGTGTTAGCAGATGATATATTGACA